TGGTACATTGATAGTAAAATACATAAAGATTTTTGATTTAAAATATATAATTCAATACGAATGAAGTATAAGTAATGATTGTGGAAGAAACGCATGAAATGCATTTGTAACCAATCGACATGCTTTCTACAAGATGTAATGAAGGATGATTCTTTTTTTGTGTTTTCGTTCAATTAAAACAATAAAAAAACTTTTCAAAAAAAGAGAGACCACGGTTAGAAGCTGAAAGAGTACAGAAAGAATCTGAAAGAATGCAGCAAGAGGCATCCCTGGAAATGCAGAAAGAAGCAAGCCTAGGGAGACTTGCCATAGAGAAAGAAGTAGCAGCTACCACAGCTGAAGTTAAAGCTCTGTATATTCTGATGCCGACTGCAGTAAACTCAGTAAAATGCTTGGGCCAGAAGCTGAACTCCAAGATCCTCTACAACGCACTTCAATGATGCTGCTGCTGCTGCTATGCTCTTTGGCCAGGTTGCTCATGGTGTGTGCAGGAGGGCAAAGTGAGTGGGTCAGAGGGAAGCCCATTCCTTCTCCACACAAGCTGAGGATGCTTTGTAACCAAAGCATCCTCAGCGATAGGATGGGAGACCACCAGGAGAGGTCAGGAGGCGGGGACAAGGAGATGGAAAGGGCTGCTGGAGGCCAAGTGCTAAGGCAGGAATTTTCTTCTTTCCTCTTCTTTCTCTTCCTTCTTTTTCTGTCCCCTCTCCTTTTTCCTTCCTTGCTCTCTTCTCTTTTCCTTCTTTTTCTTTCCTCTTTTCCTTTCTTCTTTCCTGTCACTTCTTGGATGCTCAAATGCAAAAGGGGAAACATTTCTCCTTTTGTTTTGTTTTGCTTTTAGTTTGTTTTGCTAGCCCTCTGCTAGTGAAAACAGAGCTCACAGGCCTCCTGTATTTGTTCTGGGTTTATCCCTGGCACACCAACTAAATTCTTCCAGAAACATGATGCAGAGAACAGCCCCTAATACATTCCTACTGGTGCAGATCCACTCGGTACCTGTCAGCAGCTAGAAGGGTTCCACCACAAAACCGCGGACGACAAAATCGCGGTCGACGAAAGCGCGCATTTGACGTCATCACAGCGCGACGAAAACATCGCGCTGTGATCGAAAAATGTAAAAATAAAGCGAAAACCTTACCCTAACCCCCCCAAACCTAACCCTAAACCTAACCCTTAGCCTAACCCTAAATCTAACCCTAAACCTAACCGTTAACGTAACGCTAAACCTAACGCTAACCCTTAACCTAACGCTAAACGTAACCCTAACGCTCTAAACCTAACCCTAACCCTTAACCTAACCCTAACCCTAACCCTTACCTTTATGTGAATCGGCTTGCTTTAATGTAATTTTTATTTGAATTTTTAATTTTTTTCGTCGCGCTGTGATGACGTCAAATGCGCGCTTTCGTCGATCGCGCTTTTGTGGACCGCGGTTTTGACGGGTCACGGCTAGAAGTTGATCTTCCCTGTGAAATCTTAGAGGGGACCCATATCTCATCCCTGCTACCCCATCTTCCATTTGTCCTTTGATAGGGACATATCAGTGTTGGGATTGTAGCATTCCATGCGATTAGAACATGACACTTTTCACTCCCAATGCATAAAGTTGAGAGCCCATTTGCCACCACTGTTACCATCTGAAGATTCAGTGATACCAGGAAAGGGAGCCTTTGTCTTCCATGGAAACTAAAGTTCTCAGGGAACTCTGGGATTCTGCAGAATAGTTTGAAAAGCTCTG